ATGAACTCTATTCTCGTTGGGTTCCTAGTTTTTATCTAAAAACTTATTTTATGTCAAATAATGTTCTAGTTATTACGGTTATATCAGAGTAATAAATTTTATAAAGAAAAAATCTCCAGGAGATTTTGCTTAAGCCTCGAGCAACCAGTAACCAATGATCTAGAGACTGTGGTAGCAGCCCTGAAGACAGAGGAAACAGGAAGTGCAAAAGCATTAAGGAACCACAAGTGAAGTAACAAGAATGGGCATCAGCATCCTCAAAAAGGAAGAACGGAAGAAGGAAAAAGATGGCAGAACAAGATCAGTGACCTTATGAACTTGGATAAAGCTTTTGAATTTTAAGAATGATGGGAAAATCAGTGCTATAATTTAAGATTTTATGTATTTATTCAATAGCTGTGTGAACTATGCTTCATTAAGCGTTGACTGCAGAGACCAATAACAGGGCTACCAATTCTAGGAGAGATGTTGGCTGCTTAACTAAAACAGAAATTGTGGAAATAGGACAGAAATGGAGAAACCTGCAATGTTTTCACATTGTTGTTATGTGCCAGCGAGTCACCTGCGACTCACAGTGACCCTATGAACAATAGCCCTAAACCCTGCTCTATCCTGTGCCAATCTTATTGTCTCTGATACACCTATCCACCCATCTCATCAAGGGTCTTCCTCTCTTGCACTGTCCCTCCAGCCTCCCAAGCATGATGTCCCTCTTTGAGGAATGATCTCGCCTTGCAACATGTCCAAAATATGTCAGGCGAAGCTTCAGAATCCTTGCCTCCAAGGAGCAGTCTGGCTTCACCCTCTCCAGGATGAACTTGTTTGTTCTCCTAGTAGTCCACAGTATATTCTGTACTCTTTTCAGGTTAGGCTAATACAATTCAAGTTACAAGATAAAAACAAGGGTAAGTGTTAAGTTTTTAGACTAAGTAAATGGGCTAGAGGATTGCTATGTACTAAGATTAGGAAGACTCCAGAAGCAGGTTTGTATGTAGGCTGCTGAAGCTACACATGAAATTAAGAATTTTATTTTTAATTAAATTTTTTTCAAGTGACACCCAAATGGAGGCTGTCACACAAACACATCTGGGGTTCAGACAAGAGGGTTAATTTAGGAGCTAATGGCATACAGTACAGGGTGAAAGGCTTGGAACAGAAAGAGCATACAAAGAGTGGGTAAAAGAAGGCCCCAGACCAATTCCGGAGCTCTTTAATATGTAAAGGATTATTGTGAACATAAAATGAGCTTGCTTGTATGACATGCTTAGCAAATACCTGACACATGACAAACCACAACATCCCACAAACTCACTGCACTGTGTAGATTGTGAATCCAGCAGCCCTGGTTTGGTTTCCAAGGCTGGAAAGTGCCCTGTGAGGAGACTATTCCAGCACATCTTTCTCCAAATGAGCTGCTGGTGGATTCAGACTGCCAAAATCTTGAGGCTTGTTAGTTAACAGGAAAACAACCACCAGAGCTTAGCTGATGCTGTTGTTATGGATCACTGAGTCAGAACTGACTCACAGCTGACCCTTCAGCCAGTTGTCAGAGGCAGCTGTCAGTGAGGAGACTCACCACCCATCTTTCTCCCACAGAGCAGCTGGTGGATCCGAACCCAGTGCTTTTCAATTCGCAATGCAACTCCTTACCATTAAGTCACCAGAGTTTAGTACAAGTACTCATTAAAAAAATGTTTATGTGTGCCAATCCTGGAAATGACATTGCTAACTATGATCCATCCAAAGTGTTTTCACAGAAGATTATGAAATGCTTTTTCACTGACAGTACATTTATTCTCCCCCTTACTGGCTTAATTACCTTTCTACCCTAACATGGAAAGCATCCTAGGATACCAAGAATAGTCTGTACACTTATAAGTGATAAATATTATACAGATACATATTATCTAAAAATTTAGCAATACTCTATTATATATATCTTGGACAAAAATATTAAAAAAAAACTTTAGAATGGTAACCACTGAAATAATAACAGGCCTTTCACTGACCTCAAGTCCAAAAGTATGTTTCCTTACCCACTAAGAACGTGAATGCGCTCTGTATTGTATTTCAGTGGTGTCAATTCACAGCGCAAAACTTGAAGTGCCTCCAGGACCTTGCCATCCTCCAGGTATTCTAGGTACTTCTGCTGCAGCAGCAAAAACTTCATCCTCTGACATGACAGAAAGCAGCAGTCAGGGGAAAAAAGTTGATAGAAGTTTCAGAAAATGTTTGTGCCTAAACAGAACAGTAGAAACCATTCTACTATGCCCTTTGAAAATAACTTTTTATAAAGTTTCAAGATGACTAGAAATATTTTGCTTTAATAGTTACAGATTTAATATTACTTTGCTTGATTCCATGTAACATAAAGAAAAACCTCTTTAAATAATCTCCAATAACACAAAATCATTAGTGACGCAAGGCATAAATAAGAAAGAATATATTCAATCCCAAAACATTCGCTTAGACTATTTCTTGCATAAAATTTTAGGACTATTTAAAGTATTCTAAATTTTCTTTTAAAAGGCATAATGGGAAATATGAGGCAAGTACTGAAAAGCCTGGGAAAAACTAGTTAATGGAAGAATTATTTAAAGGCCACATTGGGAAAGAGGAACTAAAGAGATCAGAAAGTCACTGGGTAGAAGAAGCTGGCCGCACAGTGACAGATTGTAGTTGATCAGAAGTGAAGACGAGCTGCCCAACAAACAGTCTAGAGGCTGATTTACAAAGTACTGAGTTCTCTAGAATTAGAATGGACAAGCACTTGAAATGGCAAACGATCTGTAATACATATTTACCAGAATGAAAATAAAAAAAATATGCAAGTCGACAAGCATAATTATGATAGAGAAATGCTCTTTAGATGCTATAAAGGGATGACTACATTAGAAGGTTAAACGAAGATCTTAAAAATGATCCAATTATTGGTATATTTGTAATAATCTCGTTATTGATGCATTTACCTATGAAGCACAATTAACATCGGCATATTTTCCCCAGAAGGGTAAACTATTTCCTACCTACTGTGAAGCATTTATCATTTAGGGTTTTTTTAAAAAATGTAGGTTTATTTTTAATTTTTTTTAGTGTTTATTATGAGTTTATGAATGTCAAGACTAAAACTGCTCTTAAACTACTATGGTCCACTATCTCTCTCATGGCTTTTTTGGTGCTGTCTTATAAAGTATGTAAAAAATGGCAGTCACATTTAGAAACTCAAGGGAATATAATGGGAAAGATCTCAAATCTACTTAAAAAAAAAAAAACCAAAAAACCCTTCACAAAATTTGTTGATTTTTGTTATTCACTCTTTAACAGGCTGCTAAAGAACAGAGTTTCGAAATACGTCATACAGAACTAAAAAGATTACATCTACTAAATTTTACACATATAATTACATTGACTAATAAGTAAATAAGAGTCCCTAAAAAGGTATGTGACTAAGCATATCAGATGGAAAATACCTTTAAGCCTACCAAGGGACAAAACACAAAACTGCAAAAACAAAAAACATGTAAAAATCTAAAAATTTTACATTGATGTTACTCTGGAATAGTCTCACCGTTTTAATTTCTGGACGAAAAAGCTCAATTCTTTGTAAAATAAAAAGCTCATAGGTTTACATTTTTTGATACAGCCACATGGAAATGGCCTGCAGCGTAAGTGATTTCTCACTAAATGTTCTTACCAAACAGGAATTTATTTTTTTTTAAATTATTTTGTGTGTGTGTGTGTACCGTCAAATTGGATCTGACTGGTACAGGAGGAGATTGCTCCTCCTTCTACAGTAGAGCATCTGGTGATTCAAACTATGTACCTCTGGGATTGCAGTGCAGCTTCTTGTCACTAGGCCACCAGAGCTCCCTTCAAATAGGAATTTGGAAATTTAAAAAAAAAACACACAAAACACAAAAAACCATTGAGGACAAGTATTTTTCTTATGGATCTTTTGTCATCAAATACTGGGTCTTATGTACATCCTCTTACATTTCCAGTGTGTGTAGGGACAGTGCCCCAAGTGCCATTTTCCCCTTATTTTCCCACCAAGATCCTGACAGAACATGTTAGTCTACTTCTAGGACCAGAAGAGAAAGGTAAAATTAAACGGAGAGGGCAAGAGAAACCTATTTTTCTACATATGCAATGAACATTAAAAACAACCTACGAGCATTTCTCTACGTGTCAGCACACTCAGATTCAAAGAAGTATCTTCAAATATATAAACCATGCAAAACTGAAGCTTGCTATGGTGGAGGACAGGGCTCTACCAAAAGTTTTTGGGCTTTTTAAAGACCATGTACTTCTTAAATGAAGACAATTACTGAGAAATAAATTCTCATTTCTTTTCCAATTCCCAATCAAGTTAGATCTTTCTAAGAGATTACTACTATCTATAGCAATTTCCTATATTAAGTAAAAGCTTGAACCTGCTAAGTGACTAGCACAGCTTAAGAAAACTTTATTGTAAATCCTGCTGTTGCCTCCCACCTGTAAGCCAATATTTAAATGGCTTTATCTTTTTCTCCCATATTATTAGACTAAACTCAGCATAAGAACAAATCCTCAGAAGTTATAATACAAATGAAATCTGGTTATCTAGGGCAGCCTCCAAGCTAACTTAGTAGTGGTTCTGACTAACTCTTGAAACAAAGTTATTACCAAGTTGTATCAATTACTACTCAAAATAAAGGGGTAATGCATTATACTTAAACCATGGCTCTCAAAACTCCTTGACTACAAAATGTACTAGTTGATCTTAATAGGTCAAGTTATTAGCATAATTTTTAAATCAAATTTATTATATTGAAAGTACACACACACACACTCTCTCTCTATTGAAAGTTCTCTCTCTCTCTCTCTCAGTTATTGGTTTCATGTACCCAGCCAAATTCTCTAAACTTGGCTAGTGACTTTAGGACACAAGCCCAAAAATGTTGATTCAAAAGCTCTGTCTCCAAAATTCTGCTATTTAAAGTATTATTTGACATGAGACCATTTACAAATAGGTGGAGGGCAAGGGAGCAAATGTGGTTGATTAGGTTCATATAAATGTTCAGGTTTAAAGAAAGAAAATATAATATAGCCTGGACTAAGTCTTTAAGTGTGTTGAGACATGCAACTAAAATAATTTGAAAGAAAAAGCCCAATACTTGTGCTAAGGTATTATAACAAACTTAATCTAATGCTATATTATCTTTTTTGGAGGACATTATAAGGAAGAGGAGTAAATCTTAAACACAATCTGAGATTTAAAGGGCAACTTTAAAAAGTGCTGAATCTTTAAAAGCAATTGATCCATCATCAAAGCTTAAGCTGATATAAAATTGGAACCCTTTCTTTGCATAAATACCTAAACAGTTTGACGGTGTGAGGCTCAGCAGAGATTTAATCTTCATCTTTTATTAGATCCTAGAATGTTCTATAGAGTGAACAGGCTATAAAAGAAAGGATTCCTCCTTATTATCTACAACTACCTTTGTTCAGTTCACATGTCGTTTCTAATGAAGCAGTCATAATCTAAGACCGTACAGAAACCTCAAAATACTATAAACAAATGTGTATGTGTGTGTGAAATCCCCAAAACAATGTAATAAACAAGGAGGGGGATCCCAAAACACAGCAGGACATAATCCTATTACAAATATTACTACTAAAATACAAAGAAATTTTGGGAGAAGCTTAAAAAAAAGGAGAACAATCCTCCAAGAAATCATACACTTGAACAGAATTATATTAAGAATTTGAGTATTTTTTTGGTAAGATTTCAAAAAAGAAAAAAACCCCATTAAGGCTGTTAGATTATAGGCAAAGATGAAAATTTGACCCAATTACAAAAATAAAAATGTAACATTTACTAATATTTAACAAATAGCTATTTTCCCTACTTCACTTCCTATTTGTCTTCTTTCCCTCCCCCACCTGACAGGAAATTGCTTCTGACAACAAATGAATCAGCTAGAGTTAACAAACCAAGAGATGATTCTTCAAGGTTTCCAATCACAAGCACTTAAAAAAAAAAATACACAGCTTACTCTCATGTCTCCCTCACCACCACTGATACCAAATGAAAGAACTTCAGGATAAAAGACTCACTAAGATTTATGAAAGAGGCTAACAGCTCAAGCTACCAAAATGATCTTGCCGGGGAAATAAGGCCAGTAAGCCAATTTATATGCAAACTCTCCATCTCAAGGATGCATATTACACAAATTCTGACACTGTCAATTCACAAAACTGGAATCCAAAAGTACAAAATGGTAATAAGCACACCAATAGAGCTGGTCTGAGTCAAATATAACTCTAACAGTAAGAAAAAGTGTACAATCAACATATACGTTATTAAAGGCTGTTTTGATACACATACACGAAAAAATAATTTTCTCTTCATCGCCACATTTAGGTTTCAAGTGATATAAAAATATAATTTTTCTTGACTCTAAAAACATAAACTCCTATTAAGAACGTAGAAAGTTTTGAGATCTAGAAAAAGAATTTTTGTAGACAGTTTTTCAAATGACACACTAAAAACAAACTACAATGTTTATACTTTATAACATTAAGCAGTCATTTTAGTTTACAAATTTAATTATCTGAAATTTAACTATTGTAGGCCTTATTTTTCTTAAAAGGTAGAAGAAACCTAATGCTATCAATAACCTACTAAAAATAAGCATAAATGTGAAACTAAGAACAAAAGTGTATTTACCACAATTATTCCCAACAACGTTTGAGAGATTTCAAGTGCGCCTCTTACCACAATAGCATGAGGAGAATGCACTAAAGGCTTTAGTTCATTCAGGTCATTTTCTGCCTGCAAAAATCAGTATAAAAGAAAAACACTCATGTCACAAAATGCTCATTAGACACATAATTTTAGCAGTAGTCACACGTCTCTAGATGCCCTACTTTACCTTATCCCAGTCTCCTTCCATGACATGATTTCGGAATTTGGTAGCAGAAGGATGTTCTAAACGACATCCTGATTCTTGCATGAGGAGATCAACAGTCTGGCTGCAGGAGAGATACAGTGTAAAAGACCTCACCAACTGCAGGTCATACTCTTCCAAATCAACTAAAGTCTATGAAAACAGTAGCAAAGGTTTTTTATACTAACCTCAGAGAGCAAGGGGGGAAAGATATATAGCTTTAATGTGCTTGATTGAACAAACTTGATTTTTAAAACTGCTACATTTACAAAGAAAAACTTTGTTAGATCTAAAATTCAAAATAGATTTTTCCTAGTATTTAATGCCTCCAAAGTTTAATGGAGTAAGATTTCTAAATTCACACCTATCGGTTAATAAATGAAAATTCAGGATCTACATACTAACCAAGCTACTACATTTTGAAAAAATAAAAACTGTTAACTCCAAACAAGGTGACAGAAGTGACTTATGTTAAGGGCCAGGTCCTAAGTTAACATGTCACTTAGGAAAAGTACCTCTACTTTTTTAAAAAAAAGTTTAAATATTACTAGTTTTATTGACCTTAAAGGGTTTGATTAACAGTGAAAGAAAATGTTAAGAAAAATGAACTTTATAAAACTTTGTTTTAGTACATAAATCTATCAGTTTGAAAATGCTGATTTTTAAAAAATTTTGTCAAAGCCTATGCTTATTAAAATATGTCAACTAGTAAAAAAAAAAAAAAAGGCAGACCTTGGTTGAGTTTGTGAACTCTACTAGGACAAGCTTTAAAATTAATATCCAGTTAAAACAAAACCATTCTTTTTCTCTTTACTAAAATTAGCAAATTTACTATGGTGTATGTTCCAAACAGTCACGAGTTATTTCCTCCTGCTGCTGCTGTCAGCTTCTCTGTAGTATGTTCTGTTAGCATTTACAAAATCTGCTTTCATGCCATTTCATTTCTTTAGGGACTCAAGTAAAATCTCCCTACAGATCTATCTCTGAAAGCTTAAAATGCTCATTAAAATGTCATTTTTTCCCATTAGACATTTTGCATCTTCATTTATCAGTCTTTAATATTTCTCTCAATGCTTTAACTTAGCTATTTGTTTTTCCATTAAAAAGTGCCAACAAGATCCGCCCAAGAATCAAAACCATTGTCACTTTTACAAAGTGCGGTTTCCCACCACCCCTCATCCCCACAAACTACACAATAACCAATCCAACAGCTTATTCTAATCAAAACCTTGAACCTAGGAAACTGGGTGTCTCCTCAAGGTTCTGGCTCATCTACTTTCTCCAGGGAAGCCTTACCTCACACCCCAAGTGTTTCTTTGCGTGTACAAAAAGGTGGTTTGGCCCAAAGCCTGTGTCTGCTCTCCCCCCTATTTTAAGGTACACAAGGCCCCCTAAATTGTGGCTGATAACACATGATTCACCAGTTCAGAGGATCGCTTTTTGAGAGAGAATAATCTGCTGACTAGCCAATCAGGATTTCAGACTAGTGCCAGGTCTCTTGCACACTTTTTTTTTTTAAAAAAAACAAACAAAACACCAAACCACGGGCCCTCTAAAAGGACATGAACCTAGAATCTTACTTTATTGTCCCCCACTAGCTTTATTCGGTCACCTCTTCCCAAATGGTCCATCCCCTCAGTTCCCATAAACACTTGTGGGTGACTGTGGCTCCTGATTGGTAGGTTTGGCCCGGATGGTTGTTTGTCATGGTTGGGGGCGGGGAGGTGTCCCACAAAGATGTCTCTTCACATACACTTGAAAACCAAATCCCCCAAGGTTCATGACTGCCACCGGCTCTGTCCCCCCCATCCGTCTGCACTGATAGGCGGCAGAGCGCAGAAGGTGCGCGCCCAGGGGTCATTTGTTTGGCTTCTATCACTTTCTCCTGCCCCTCCCCAATTTGTCACACTGATGGATCCCCACCAATGGCCCCCCACCCAGATCGGCCTGAGCTGCGTCTTCCCGGGTGCTGGGCCCAGGCATCCTTCCTTGGTCCCCCGTCCCCCGCTGCCTGGAAGGGATACTTACTTGAGCCCTAAGCCATTCAAGTGCTGTCCTATTAGCCTAATCACGTCCTCGTCGGACTGCGAGAGCCGCTTCTTCTTCTTGAGGCTGCTGCCCAGCTCCGGGGTGGCCAGGGAGGCGGGGGCGGCCGTGGTGGCGGCGATGGTGGCCGAGGCTGCTGCCGCCCCGCCGGGGACCCCGTTATTGACATTCAGGCTGTTGCTATTGTTGCTGGCGGCGGAGGGGGCGGCCGGTGGCAGCCCGTTGGCGTGGGCCATGTCCCCCGCGGAAGACGCCGACGAGGGCGACGACTCCCCGTTCTGGGCTGACAGGCAGGCGAGTTCCGGGGTCTGGACCCCGCCGCCTCCTCCTCCTCCTCCTCCTGCCCCGTTGGCCTGCATGATGCCGCCGCTGACCAGGCTGGGGCCGCTACTCCGCTGGGGGGCCGGGGCGGCGGCGGAGGGGGCGGCAGCAGCCGGGGGGAATCCCACCACTACCACCACGGAGGAGGAGGAGGACGAGGACGAGGAGGACGACGAGGACGGAGGGGAGAGGCCTGCTCTGGCGGCCGAAGCCCCGGGCTCTCCTGCTCCCTCCGCCGCCGAGGCTCGGGATTTCTTCCGCGGGGGCGGGGAGGCTCCGCCGGTGTCCGAGTCGGAGGAGGAGGAAGCGGAGGCCAGAGTTTCCTCGCCGAGAGAGGCCGTGGTGGGAAGCGGGGGGCCGAGGCGGGGGAGGGGAGAGGGTCGGGGCGAGGGGCCGGGAGGGGTCAGGTGGGGGTGAGGGGAGGAGGAAGAGGAGGAGGAGGGGAGGAAGGAGGATCCGGGCCCTTTCCCCCCCCCCTCCCGGAGGCAGCTCGGGGAGCGCGGCCCGGGGGTCGCGCCGGGGGTCGCGGCGGGGCGGCGGCAGGGGGCGTGGGGCCCGCCGCTGGGCTGAGCCCCGGTGCTGGCGGCGGCGGCGGCGGCGGCAGGGGCGGGCGGCAGCGGAGGCAGCTGCCGCCTCTGTCCGGGGCTCCGCTCCGCTCCCTGGTGTGTTGATTCTTCCCCAGCTGCTGCCTAATGGAGTCCAGGCGCTGGCGTCACAGGAAATGCCTATACTGCCCTCCTCACTCACTTCCGGTGGCAGGTATGGCGCCTATAGGGGGCCCTGACACCGATGGTGAGCGCCCAGGGTGGGCGGGGGCGAGCGTAGAGGACGAGTGGGGGCGAGCGCAGGAGGTGGAGCGGGCCGGGGGCGAGCGGGCTGGGATCCCCGCCCACGCGAGGCCTCTGTATCCGCCGTCGGTGCTTCCTGCATGGCAGAGTTCTTAGTGTGTGTGGACACCACCGTGACCCAGAAATGCGCGACGTGCGTGCGGACTGTCCGAGCGGCTGTCCAAGTTCTGTAACAAGGACTTTGGAGGCACAGCGCCGTGGTAGGCCCGTGCACTCGGTGGGTCAGAACCGGGACTGACAGCACATTGCTTCTTTGGGGACACGAATGGCCACAGAATTGTCGCTGTCCCTGGGCCATCTTGGGAGCTTCTAGGTGAGGAGCAGGTTCACTGTGCGCTCCACCCTGGGAAGATGAAATCTATGTGCGCGGGACTGATGGGGATAAGTCGCTGGAAGACCGCGGGTGGAGCGGCTGGACCTTGCTGATGGGCTTTGCTTGCACTGTGCACTTGCCCAGCGCTCTGCCCTTGCTCTTGACTCTGTCGGATTTACAGAGCCATCACACAGACCCCGTTTCAGATTCAGCCTTGACATTTTTACTTAAAACGTGGTGCTTCCGTGTCACTGTAGCCTGTGGACGTAGAAACTGCAAAGAACTGGGCTAAGGAGTGACCCTCACTCAGGGAATGGTCTACGTTTGTCCAAACAGTGTTTCTGACTCTTAAGGATTCACGTATATAAGTGGATAGATAAATAACATATGCATCTGATACTTTCCAGCATTTGCTCAAATACTTAACCTTTCTCCTTTGTAGTAGTTTTCTTGTGTAAAGGAATACGGACTCAACTAATTTATGTTTTAACACAATGTGATTTTGAGGCTTTAAGAGCCTGGTCTTTGGTCTCACGCCCCTCCCCCCCATTATTGTTTCTTCTTTTCTTTTAGCCAGTTCTTTCTAAATTTAGAAAGAAATTAAGTTTAGCAGAGATTAAGGAAGAACCATAATCTCTATTGATTTTAAGGCTGGAAGGAGGGAGAAAAAGTGCAAAATGATGTTTTACAGAGATTGGATTTTGTAATTCTCATCTCTTAAATATGTTGGCAGGTGGCAGCTATAATTTCAAGGTGACACATGTATTTTTATTCTCCTTGAGACCTAAGGTTCACAGCAAAGCTTCACATATTTTCATTCAGGTTTGACTACCTGCTGAGAATTTACTTTTCCACCTCAGAGATACTGACTCAGAATCTGCATTTGAACACAATTACCCAGGTGAGTCTTAGTCATACATATTCTGGTTCTTAGTGTTCAGCAGAGCCACAGTTACTGGATAACACCTTCAGGGAGCTCTGTTTGTATATTAAGTATCTGTAAACAAACCCCCAGCGCCTTCAGGCATTCAGCCTCATAGTTACCTTCCATTGGGTTTTTAAGCCTAAAGAAGAAACTATGCCTTTGAGCTGTGGTGCTGGCAAAGAGTATTGCAAATACCACAGACCGACAAGAGAACAATCAGGTCTCAGGAGAGGGTGAAACCAGGCTGCTCCTTGGAGGTGAGGATTTTGAAGGACTGTTTGACATACTTTGGGCATGTTACCAGGAGGGACCAGTCCTGAGAAAAGCACATCATGCTTGGAAGGGTGCAGGGAGATCCAAGATGAGATGGATTGACTTGGTAACTGTGGCAATGGGGCCAGTTGTGTCAGAGATGTGAGGTTGGCTCAGCATAGGGCAGGGTTCAGAGCCTAAGGTTCATTGGGTTCCTGTGAGTCATAGTTGACTCGATGACACATAAAAACAAATCAACAGTGTCCAATTTATTAAACTCATGTTGAAAAGAAGAAGTTTTTGGAATTTTGAGTGTCCCTGGTGTGGGATGTATTGATACATCTCTCTAGTTTCATTCCTAGATTTTCTCCAATTTGGGGGTCTAAAATTGGGAGGGTACAGTTTTTGAACTTGGATAAAGTTGGGAGAATTCAGAAAGAAGTGCAATATTAGGAGTCAAGCTATATGGTCAGAATACTGGTGTTGGGCACATTATTTACCTCAGTGGAGGGAACTCCTAGGTCCTAGGGAGTTGAGCTACCCAAAGGCCATGCGTCTGGGGCTATTTAAATTCACCCGTGGCTCCTCAGGAGAAAGGTGGACAATCTCCTCTCTGTGCAATTGACAGCCTCAGAAACCCAAGTCTTAGAATTTATGCGTGGGTCAAATATGATAACAAATATATAAATACCTGAAAAAGTACGTGCAGAATGTGAGTGAAATATGTGAAACAATGTATACACACTTGATAAGCAAACTAATATAAAATAAAATTTTTTAAAAACTACATGTTGAAAGTTTTCTCACTAAAATTCAAATACTCCATTATTTCCAATAGGATCTGAAGTAGCTAAGTGCTAACTAAAGTATAAGAAATTGAGAACCCAGAAAGTAACACATCTATTTATGATCAATTGATATGCGACAAGGAAACAAAATCTATCAAATGGGGAAATGACAACTGCTTCAACAAATGGTGCTGGCAAAACAGGACTACTACCTGTAGAAAGCTGAAACAGGATCCACATCTATCTACACAAAAATCAACTCAAGATGGATTGGAGACATGAATCGGGGTTAAAGCCACAAACCATAAAGATCATAAAAGACAAAATGATACCAAGCTTAGGAGGCCTTGATTATGGTATAAAAAGGATGTCAAGTACAACCAGAAATACACAACCAGCAGAGGATAAAATTGATAATTGAGATCTTCTAAAGATTAAATTTTTTGCTAATGGGGGAAGTAGAAGGGTGGATGTGTGGACTGTTAAAATAGGAAACCCCCAGTTCACAGAGTTGTGAGAGAAATAGAGAAGAAATCTTGGGAGGTCAGTTCTCAGTGACGCTTTAATCAGATCAAAGGAGTATGTTGGGATTCTGAAAAGGTAAACTGCAGAAAAGCAGTGCTTTTGAGTTCCTCCCATCCAAATTGTCTTGGGAAAGGAGGCTGTAGAAGAGACAGGAAAAGAGGGCTGCCCGGTACCCAGCCTTTCAGATGGGGTCAGTATGCACAGCCCCTGAGCATCTGTGGTTTGACCAAACAATTACACATTTCTAAGTGCCTTTCTTCCAACTTGATGAGAGTGTAATAATAATAAACAGAGCAAATAAGGAAGACAATCCAGCCAGGAATGAGTTTGTGAAAGACAAAAAAGCTGTATTTTGGAGAAGAATGATTCTAAGCTGCCTTTAGTTTTTTTCTTTTTGGCCTTTGGAAAGAAGTTGATGAGTGCTAAAATAATACTAATTTTGTCATTATTCAGTCCCACTCTTGTTGAAACATTCTCACTCTGTGTGTTTGTGTGTGTGTGTGTGTGAAACTTTAAAAAATACATTGTTTATAAAAGAGTGCTTGGATAAGGAAGTATTCTACTTATCTCTTTAGCTATCACTGGCATAATATGAACATCTCTATATTTTTACTTTTCATTTATTTTCTACCATGGCCTCTTCTACCAGCCCAACAACTCATATCGATTACTCAGATTAGCTAGGTGATAAACGGCCTTATGTAAATCTTTTGAAAAGGAGGTGGCTTACAAATACACTCCAAGATAAATAAAAAATAGTGAAAGCACCAAAAGGCATCTTTGAAGGGATGAAAACAAGTTCTTTCCTTTCACTAGAGAAAATTTTAGCAGAAATAAAGCCTGAGACACAGAGGGAAAATATAACTACTTCCTGACAGGTTGAAGTAGGTGATGTGTAGTTGGTTATCTGGGCTGCTAGAGCCCAGAAGGAACTTCTCAAAAGAACAT